TCATGGGGAGGCAGGGTGTTGGGAATCTAACCCAGAGACTCATCCTTACATGTTAGGCACATACTCTACCACTGAGCTACAATCCCTAGCCTAATTTTTCTATTTTTATGCATAAATCACTGATGACACATGAAAATGAATGAATGAATGAATGAATGAATGAATGAATACATGTATGTAATTTACATTATGAAAACTAGCAATGGTTCCAGGTGACTACAGATTCCATATGCAGAGTAATCTTTGTTCCCCGGTGACAGCCCACTAAACCATCCAAAAGGAATAAAACAAGTACAATCCTGGGAGAACTGGAGAAAATACAACACATTAGATGTTAACACAAAATTTAGAAGAGGGAAAGCAGTTGAATACAGGTCTGCTTTAACAGAACAAGGAAAGCTGAAGCTGAGGCTGCTGATTTTCTGAAGAAGCTGATTTGAACTGAAAAATTCGGGAAATAGCCAAGACCCAGAAGGGCTGGGTCTCTCCCAGGTACTCACAGTCAGGCCTAATGCAGCAAGGTTTGCTGAAAGTCTGTATTAGGAGCAGCTATGTAGGGGGTAGGTCCCCAGACCTCTCTCACCCTCACCAGCCTGCAAAGGTAGAACTTTGCTGCTCCTTTAGAGACCCAAAAGGCTTTGTTGGGTCTCTGTAGAAGCTTAGTCAGGCAAACTCTCGGTTCAGAAATATCAGCTGTGTGAAGCATTGTGCTATAAAGAGTGAGTAGCTTTACTAAAGATCCATCTCCCAGTAAGATGTGCAGACACTTGCACACTTCCTTGCTAGGCTCTTAGGGTGTTGACAGCCAGGATCATAACATCAACCATTCTAATCCTTGGTGCTTACCCAAGAGAAACAAAAGCACATGTTCATACAAAGACTTGTATACAAGTGTTCCTAGAAACTTGTTTTGTTTTATTTTTGGTAATAGCCAAAAACTAGAAGAAATCTAAATACCTATTAACAGGTTGATGGATAAATTATGAATCACATATCCATATGATGGAAAACTACCCAGAAATAAAAATGAACTACTAATGCACACAATAACATACAAGAGCCTCAAAATAATTATACTGAATCCTTAAAGAGAATATCCACTATATGATCCCATTTACATAAAATTCTAAGAAAGGCATGGTGGCACATACCTATAGTCCCTGCTACTTGGGAGGCTGAGCCAGGAAGCTCACAAATTTGGGCCTAGCCTGAGAAATTTAGCAACACCCTGTCTCAAAATAAAGATAGTGCCCTCTGGCCTAATTACATATCTCCCTTAGAGGATTCACCACTTCAACGCCAGTACATTGGGGAATTAAGCTTCAACATGAGTTCAGGTAAGAATAAACCTCAACATATAATGCCTCTTCTTGATTTCCAACTGGGTTTCTTTCCTATTTTCTCATGTAACCATATTCTACTTTATTTCTAGCTATCCACAGTTCCATTTATTATGGTTGCATAACAGTGATAAAATTTATTTTGCTCAGACACTGCAAATCAGGAACTTGTCCCTATTCTGCTCAGTATTAGCTGGAGGAGTTCAAAAGCTGTGGGCTTGAATCATCTAAGGCTGCTCACTCACTCATCTGATAGTTGATGCTGGCTGGAAGCTGAGATCTGAGCTGGGGCTCCCAGCTAGAGCATCTGCATGCGCATGGCCACAACATGGTAGCTGGGTTCCAAGGGTGAATGTTGAGAGAGAGGAAGAAAGAGCAAAAAAAACAGACAGAGAGAGACTGACACAGAGAGACAGAGAGAGACAGAGACAGAGACAGAGACAGAGACAGAGACAGAGACAGAGACAGGCAGAACCTGTACCTTTGTATTTCTTGGCCTTGGAAGTCCCATAGCATCATTTCCTTCATAGTCCAATAGTGAAAGCAGTCATAACCCTCAGCCTAGATTCAAGGGAGGGAGCCTGACCCCACCTCTCAGTGGTTGGTGGATCACTTTGCAAGAAAAGTATGTAGGATGGGACATAGATATTGAAGTGGCTACTTTGGATAATGCAACATATCACATTTTTTAAACCTCATCTCTGCCCATTAAACACCATCTACCCAAGAGTTCTCTGGTTGACAATCAGGCTTGCTATTGTCCCACTTAGAAGAGAGGGCTTGCCCTTCACCTGGTTCTCTCCCCACAACCTTAGTTCTTGGGAAACATGTGTGATCCTTCAGAATCTCAGGTCATGGACATCCAAAACACGTCTGATCCCTTTGACCTATGAGTAGGTGAGAAAAAGGCAGTCTAGGCCGGGGATGGTGGCACACACCTGGAATACCAGCACTCGGGAGGCTGAGCCAGGAGGATAGCTGTGAATTCGAGGCCAGCCTAGCTAGAAAGTGAGTTCAAGGCCACCCTGAACTGCATAGTGAAACCCTGTCTCAGAAGACCAAAAAAAAAAACCCAATCTAGGTCCCAGTGATGGATTTGAAACACATCTCAGGAAACATCTATGAGTCAGGGAATATGTCCATGGCTGAACACAGGGCAGGTTTATTCATACACATCAAGGTTCCCACTTATAGAAAAAGATCCACTGCTATTCCCAGAAGGTTCTTCTAGGCCCAGGGGCTTTCTGGCTTCATTTCATGGTTACCCTTGCCCATCTTTCCAGCTGCTTTCCTGAATAGAGCAGTGACTGAGGATTAGCTAGATATGGAAGATCAACTTCCTGAAGATGAAGATGATGGTGGAGCAATGTGGTAGGGGTGATGGGAATGAGAAGTGTAGGAAAGTAAAGGTTCTTCTCAGCAATGCTTGAAAATTGGAAGTTTTCCAGGATCATTGTGTCTGGATGAATTCACCCTGGATTAATTTTTCTCACTAAAGTGGGCTACTTGGAACCCTGTAAAGAATTCATTCAAGCTGCACAACTATAATCCCAGTAGGTAGTAGGCTGAAGAGGATGGCAAGTTCAAATCCAGGTTAAACCACTTAGTGACTTAGAAAGCACCTGTCTCAAAATTTAAAAAGGGATGGGAGGGCCTTGGGTTCAATCCTCAGTATGGTAAAT